TTTTATATAACGTATCAGGATCACAGGAACGGAGGACAAGTCGACGGTAGACTATAGGAATTTGTGACGTTCCTAGCAGAAATATCCCCATGGACACTCTCTAATTGATAGGAGAATAATCCAGAAAACTCCACTGGAAAATAAGAAACAAGTCGCGATCCACCGAAAAACGGTTACAATTAAAAAACTCTATTCAAACGATCTATTATCATAATAACACACAATAATAACAGCAATAAACAATAACAATAGCAAAAATGTTGTGAAAGTTTTGAATTAAAGCTGTTTTGAAGTCTTTGAACATCATTTGTCACTCTAATGGCTTTCCCTCATGAAAAAATAAACAGGTGTCAAAAACTCGATGAAAAAGAATGAATAAATACAGCTGTATTTCATATTTTGATGCCCAGACACTGCTTGAAACGTTCTGCCTTACTTATACTCTCCTAATATAAAGTGTTCTTCATTTGCATAAAATTGTTAAATGGATTCAGAAGAAACCAAGTTGCTTGGTCGGAGGAGATCGGTAATGGGGTCTTTACAAATTCTTTTCTTCTATTTTTCACACAAATGTGTTAGAATTAATAAAAAAAAGAGGCTGGCCAACCATCAGCTTCATTTGCATTGCCACAAACAGTTTTCAAATTCTATTTCTAGTTTCCATTACCATTACTATTACTATGTTGAAAATTAGAGGAAAACCTTGATCTATCCATTTGCACTTCGAATTAATATTTTACTGGGTGTATTTCTCTCAAATGATGAAAATATTCTTTGTCAAGATCCTGCTTTATTTTGTACTCATTCCTTCGATAAATCTTCAGATTTCATGTGTCATACAATGAACGGTCTCAACTTCACATTTTTTAATGAATTTCCTTCGCTAGTCATGTTCAATACCCATACACATTGCAAGAATGAACACTTGTTACAAATTGTATGATGCACACGCTAACATATCAACTTTTGCAGGACTGCGAAGCAGGAAAGTAGAAAACAATAAATATCGTTAATGGACACAGCAGTATTTGAAACCTCTTCACATGTTCTGAGACTCTGATACAAGAGAGCTTGCAAAGGCGGTCCTGGGGGTTGGCTGAAATGCTGGGGCGTAGCCCTATCACCTTGTGCACACTCCCTACAGCTATCATTTATTCACTTTTACAGTCTGACAGGCCCTGGAATGCAGGGAGTAACAGAGAGAATTAGGCGGGGATAAATGTCTCGTGGGCTTTCACAAGCAACACGATCTGTATTATTTAACGTTAGACTAATTTTTGACAGTTATTATCATTATTAACTACTAAAGGTTTTCTAGTTTGCCACTTCTCATTTGATAGGCTTACGCACTAAATGGATCTATTGTGTACCAATAAAATAGTGGCAAATACACTGACGATGATCACTTGACGATGTGTTGATGGATTCGTAAATATCGTTCCATTACCAACTTAATAAACAATTATTTAAACACATTTGTTTTAATCTAAAACGTCCTAACCTCCCAGTTCCAAATTTTGCCCTTTTTTAGATACAGAAAGCGTCGTGTCAGCAATAGGGAATAGCAGTCTGCAGTCTGCTGAAATTTAACTGTGATCGATTTTTTTCTCAAAAAAATCATTATGTCTTACTAGTGTCCCTAGATATACTTTCCAAAGTATATCTAGGGTCTCTATGTCCTACCATTTATTGTTATGGTGACGTCAGCATTTTTTGAATGAGAGCGAAGGCGTTGTTAGTGAATATTTAATCAGGGCCGGCTCTAAGGGACCAGGCGCCCCGATGCAACTTACTGTTCAACGCCCTTAAAAAAAAATTGTAAAAAAAAAAAACAAATAAAGTTTTGTAATCACATATTTTTGTAGAGAGATACTTTTTATTAACAAACATGCATAAAATTATGATGAATCAGTCTTAATATATAAAAGTGTTTGTCTTAACTGACAGACTGACTGATTCATCAAAGCCTAAACTACTGAAGCTGCAAACATGAAATTTGGACAATAGGTTTCTTTTGTGTCATAAGCACCCATTAAGAAAATATTTCTGGAAATTCCGCTCCTACGGGGACAAAATAGGGGATGAAACTTTGTGCATAAATCCCGTGAGTTTTTAAGTCAGACGGGTTCACTGGGGAGGGAGGCGTGAACGCGATGAAAAATGATAATGTCGGAGGTTTCCACGGTCGGAATCAATACATGATCGGTTTTCGAATTGGAACCGTGTAATTTCTCAAAAAAGTTTCGCCTCTGGTATGGTTGACATACTGAGTTACCGTGCTCTTCTGCCTTATTCTTAACCCTGCTCCTGAAGATAGCACTTACGAAAGTGTGCGAAACGTTGAGCCCAAAAACTCAATTTACACGGTTCCAACCCGGAAAACGATCATGTATGAAAAATGGTGAGTCCTAATTGCGAATTCCACGCAAACGGAGCTGCGGGCAACAACTTTTCTATAGTTCAGGAAATATCGTTGTACCCTATAAAATTTTATTGATAATAACGAGACGGATAGTAGTACAATAGCAAGAAATATTTACAACTTAAAGTTGTCGCGTGGCGGTAATCCGCAGACCTTAAATTTCTAAAGCAGCGGAAGTCCGACTCCGACCCTGATATACAGAACCAAATTCGGCTACAAACAGGAACAGTGAAAAATATAACAAAACTGTTGAACAACCACCCCAACCAAAACCAACCGACTAGACTTGGAAAATAAAATTTTTAAGTATGCCTACATGGACTTTTATGATAAAAACAAACCTGACAAATGTTAGGAAAAACATCTGGTTGTGGTCATACCGCTGTCTCGTCAAATTGTTACCCAGATAATGCATCAAAAAACTAGTTAATTTTTGTCGATATTGATCTAAGGTCCCATCACCCAACCCAAAGGCGCACTCTTTTTCAATTATTACAGTTTGAAAGTGCCAGGAATTGACTTGGGATCTGTTTTGGTGTTCATAGTGGAATGTTAAAATGTAGCTTTTTCTGAAAAGTTTTCGATGGGCGCCTTGGTCTGTTACTGCTATAATATTTTGTTGGTAGTGATTCAATGCAAATCTAATATTAATTTATTTTTATAGAGTTAATATAAAAGCATAGGCGGCGCTAGCCGCCCGGCGCCCCTTGTCACGGGCGCCCCGATGCGGTGCATCTTTCGCTTACCGTGTTGAGCCGGCTCTGTATTTAATATTATATTCTTTTTAGTTTTATGGGTCATCATTCATCACTCATCACAGAATAGGAAAGTTCAAGTTTTCACTTTCCATTTGTCGCTGAAATAATTACAATTTACATAAAAGAAAAACTCAGCAGAAGAGTTCTTTGGAAGTCAATAAGTTCAAGAGACGGGCCAGCAAAAGTAAAGTCACTGTTATTTAACATAATAATATTATTAATATTAATGATAATAATAATAATAATAAGGCTTTCTTAGCAGGTTTACAAGGAAAACTAAAACTTAGGCTCAAAACAACCGCAGACAGTAAATACTAACATGCAATTCCAAAAAGTCAGTGAACTTAAGTATAACATAAGGCATTATTAATAATAAAAGCTCCCACAAAACTACAAACTATAAATCTTACTACTTATACAATGAGTAGATATTTCATTAAACTTATTAGACATAACAACTACTTACCGGAGATTTACGTAGTACGTTTGTCATATATGGTGGACTACAAAAATTTTGAGATTGGCGTGAATTAATACGAGGTACGACCAAGTTAGATTTGTCCAGAAGACTCGGACAATCTATTTTGTTGTTAAATAAATTAAAAACAAATTTAAGAACAATAATATAGCGCCGATCCTGGGGAGCTAGAAATTCAAACCTACCCAGTAGTGCAGCATGATCATCTATCCCTTTTCCCTTTTCAGGATAAACTTTATCTACACAGTCACATAAAAATTTTAGAAATTTACGTTGAACAGCTTCAATATTCTTGACATGCACATCATATATGTATAAGGAATACCAAATTATAGCATCATATTCCAACCTAGATCTAATAAGCGGAAAATATAAATTACATAAAGTTCTTATATTTGAGAACCCGCTACAATTTCTGTAAACAAAACCATACATCCTAAAAGATTTTGCTATTACATCATCTACTTATATGTTTCACAAACTTGAGTTTAGAACCAAACGTAATGCCTAAATCTTTAAAATTGTCACAACGATGTAACTTAGTATTGGTTATGGTGTAAGGAAATATACTAGGAAGTTTTCTTGTATAGAACATAACGAAACATTTGTCTTGGTTAAGAGATAAACGATTACGAATACACCACTACAGAATAATCTGAATATTAGCTTGAAGAGTCACGCTATCGTTAATATTTTTAATCTCCAACAACTTGAGGTCATCCGCATATAAAAGTTTCTCGCATGATAGACCATCAACAATATCATTAACAAACAGAAGAAACAATAATGGACCTAAGTTCCGACCCTTGCGGCGCACTAGAGGTAGGAGAAAATGGTTGTGAATAAAAGTTACGATATTTAACGACTTGGACTCTGTTCGTTAGATATGAACGGAAAAAGTTGATCAGAGGAGTGGAAAAGCCAAACTGTTGTAATTTAGCAATCAAGATGTAATGATCAATTTGGTCAAATGCTTTACGAAACGTTAAAATCTCCTAATATAAGCAACTTACAGAATTTAAAATCTTCAATGGTATTTAAAGTGTCAAGAAATAATTCAAACTCCTGGAATGACGTTTGCGGTGGAATGTACACTGAAAGAATAATTAGGCTCTGACCCTTGAGCAGCAGTTTGACACCTACAACATCAACATTGGGAATAATCTCATAAATAGCTGATAGATCTAATGAAAGTGTTTTAAAACATGCTCGAATAGCAATTAGAACACCTCCACCTCGTGAAACTGCGAACACTCGAAAATTTCTATCTTTTCCAGAAACAGTAAAGTAAGAAGGAAATAATTCAAAATTCACTATTGACAAGATCGCTAGTAAGCCATGTTTCACTTAACACTATTGTATCAAAATCATTCTGTGAACAAATACAATTATAGAAATCATTAACTTTGGATCGTAGTCCTCTGAGATTCTGATAGAAGCAGCGAAGTGTATTAAGTTTGTTGTTACTGGGTGTATTCTTCAGTTTAAAGAAACAATTTTCGGTGAACCCTTCACATATCGTATTTTCAGATCCTTTCACCAGTTGCAATCCTAGCATCGGGTTGGTGTTTCAGCTTCAATTTGTTTCGTAGTACGGTCAAAAGATAAAGAAATAGCACCGAAACTTGGATTACCCTTAAGCTTCTTGGCTTCACGTATAAACTTGTGAGGCAAAAATCTTCCTAGTCTCTGCAATTTAAACTCAGGAACAGCAGGATCAGGTTTAATGCCAGAACACTATTTACAGCAGATTGATCTAAATCAGCGGGTTGACTATTGTTGAGGAAACTAGACTGTTCCGGCACTCCAAAGATGATTAGATTATTCTTGCGTTTTTCTCTCTCCACCACTTCAGCAACTATCTCCTCAAATTGGTTGTTAGGTTGGTTGATGAGTGATTCTTTTAATGTTGCGACTTGATTCTCCAAATCGGTTCTCAATTGGTTAAGTGAAGCTAGAAAATCAGTCTGTGTTGAAGTTAACATTGTAAAGATAGGCTTGGTCCAGATTATAATCTAAAAAAGAAACCTTACAAAGCGAATAACATGTTTTGTGCATTAACTGCTCAGTAACTTATTTTAAAATATCATGTTTTTCATGCTTTCGTCCATTATTGACGGTTTTGTATAACTCAAAATCGTCCAGAAAGCTCAATTCCCGGCGTTAACTTTGCAAAAGTAACCACGGCAACACCCTAGAAATCGTGGTAACACTGATTCCAGTGTCAAATTAATAATTGTTATTTTGTCATTTCTAACTAAATCAAATGTGCGTTAAGTGTCCATTATTATCACCGAAGTATTAGGTACTATTCCGGACAAAATATTTCAAACGGTTTCACATTACATTGACATTAAATTGTAAATGTGGCTTCATGAACACCGAACTTTACCTTACCCAGTCGCTGTCCACTTGCGAACAATTGAGTATAATGAATGGTAGCTTTTCCATTACCCAACTAAGCCGAAATTTGTCCATATGACATACTAATTTCGCGAAGACATAATTCTCGGTTTATCAATACGAAATGCTGCCGGCATTTTGACAAAATAATTTCAAATTGCCAAAATTTGAAATTCATTCACAAACGTTTGTCAGAATGACAATAAAGGGTGATTTACAATGATGGTTTTTAAAATGACAGAAGCTGATCGTTTGAAATTTTGTGTCCGGAATAGTACCTATTTTATTATTTAACGAAATGTCAAAATTGAATTTGCAAATCAAATGTGTAGTACTGTAGTGGATAGTGTCAACCACAAAAAAAATTCCGGCGGTTATTTTTGATTCAAGAATTTAGTAATTTTTAAAACTTTTCAACAAATTTAAAGGTGTGTCGACATGAAAAATCGACTAGCGTCTTTGCTCCGCAACATAACTCATACTCACAAAACGTTTTTTTTCTGGACTAGTGATTTAAAAACTATTTGCATTCCCGTCATAGTAACCGTACCATTATTATCTGGTTTTACCTTAAAGGCGATCGTGTTTTCAGTGTTTTTCAGGGAGCAACGACAAAGATGCAGCATTTACTTCGTCTTCAATGGTCGAGATGCTCATATTAGAAATAATATGTGGTCGCTTGAGCAAAATCGCCACTAACAGTGCCACAGTTACTGTCAATGTTTATAAAGAAAAAAATGGAATAACATGGTAACCGTAACCGCTCAAATTCATTGTGAACTATTAATACTTTTTAAAAATTTTTAACTACATGTATTCTTAATTTCTTAAGATTTCGGGAATTCAGCTGATATTTTTTTGTCAACTCCACGTTGCGTCTGTCAGCCACCAAAATCTCGTTGGATGCAGAAAGAACAGGATCTTCTTCGTTTGCTGAATGAACGGCAACTTCGAAAAATACAAATTTTATTCGTTGTTTCAATTTTGTTGGTCAGTGAGTCTGCCACGTAACGTTCAGTAATATTATTAGAAGATTTTCAGTCGCCTATATAAATATACTTAGTAGTTATTTTTACTGAACTCCTTTCTTAAATTACACCCATTTTGCCCATTGGTGGGTAAAAATAATTCCCCAGTTTGATAACTCATTAAAAAAATTGGTCTAAAGAGTTTAGACAGTACTTCCCTCACTGTCGGAAACGTGACAACTGCATGCCTATTATGTTTTTTTTCGGATTACATTTTTGCAGCGGGGCATTTTAAAATAAATTAGGTATTAATTTTTTTCACTAGCAGCCATGACGCATGCAAATCTCGACTCATTTAGAGGTAGCAAATTCAACTTTTGCGACCACCGGTTCAAAAAGAAACATTGAGGTTATGTAAGCAATGTTTGATGTGATTATTTCTTAAAAAAATGAACAAATGTGTGCTACAAACATTACTTGAGTATACGCATGGTAGTTGGTAGACGGTAGAAGATAAAATGATTAACTCAGCGACAAGTATAAACGGTTTTCTTTCTGTTGAAGATTTAGATTAAGTTTGATTAGAAATCAAAACAAAATCATGTTGCGTCAAAAAATTGAACGTTTATTTTTTCAGTTTATTGTCTTATGGTTTCTACTAGTGAAAAAAATAGTATATTAACCACGGTTGCAAAGCCACTTCTAGACCTCGCGCTTCAGAGCCCTCGACGCTGCGCGTCTCGGGTTCTAATTTGCACTCGGTCTAGAATGCTTGGCTTTGCAACCTTGGCTAATAATATACTATTTTCGATTTTGTTATTATTTGGCATTGACGTTTTTGACATTTTTTTTTTAATAAAACACTACATTTTATTTTGTCAGACTCCCCGTATAAGCAAATATCAAAAATATTAATGCAGTGATAAATCACGAGTACCTATAGACTCATCATTCTTTACACATTTAAGATAGCATTTTTTCAACAAAATTTTGGGGTGGCGTCATCAATTTTTTAGGGGGGGGATCAGAAAATACATTTTTATCAAATATTTACCATGCTTATGATAAATTTAAAACTTCTCCAAGATTTCAAAACATTCGGTTTTGTAGTTCCCGTTTAAATCAATAAAATAAATCCACGCATTCATTAATATTTTTGAGTCATCCTGTATATGCAAATCAAAAAAATATGAATGGAATGATAAATCACAACTACAGACTCATCATATTTTGTACATTTTAGATAGGATTTATTCAGCAAAATTTTGGGGTGACGTCATCTATTTTTTAGGGGGATGAGCAAATACATTTTGATCAAAAATTCACCATGCTTATGATAACTCTAAAACATCTTCATATTTCAAAGCATTCGGTTTTGTAGTTTCTGATTAAATCAATAAAATAAATTGACGCATTCATTTTTTTTGAGTCACCTGTATATGCAAATCCAAAAAATATGAATGGAATGATAAATCACAAGTACAGACTCATCATATTTTGTACATTTTCGGTGGGATTTATTCGGCAAACATTTGAGCTGTCGTCATCAATTTTTTGGAGGAGATAAGTAAATATATTTTGGTTAAAAATTTATCATGGTTATCATAACTGTAAACCATCCGCAAGATTTCAAAGCATTCGGTTTTGCAGATTCCAAATTAAATTGCAAAATGTTGTTTCATAATTTTGATTTTTTTTTTCCAAAAATCTGAACGTTTCGGGTAAAAATTCAATACGGAGTCATAAACTACATGTGTAGGACTATGTTATTGTATACAATTTAAAACCCATTTACTATATACAATTTTGAAGTGGCGTCATCACATTATTGGTAGGGGTGATTAGACAAATTTTGGTTAGCGTTTTACCATCTACATGATATCCTTAATACATATAGGTACAAAATTTAACAACAATCGGCCCAGTAGTTTCGGAGATTATCTGTCTAATAAAAATCCGTGACACAGACAGACGTCCTGTAAGTGTCAAGAAAGGTCGAGAAAACGTAAAAGTAGAGACTCGGCCGACGGACTCTATTACAATACTTCCTTCGCTTACGCTCGGGGAGTAAAGAACACATAAACATCTTGAACGATTATACCTAATAGTTTAAATAAATTATTGTTAGTTATCCACCAAAACAAAACCAAATTGTTATTATATGTGATTTGTTTCTGGATGCCATACATTTTTCAAACTCCAAATTTGGTATATTGTATTTTACCGGTTTGTGTCTAATAAATACGTGTTTATATTTATGAAAGTTGGCTGATAGGAAAGCCATAACTGTATTCTGTATGTAAAATCACGGTAATGGTAAAATCGGTAAGGTAACATATTACTTTACCGAAATGTCAATTGTCAACATTTGTTATAACATTTTATTGTTGATTAAAAGTCTTCACTTAGTAGTAAAAGAACTTAATCTTCACTGTCTAATTTTTAATTGAGCAATTTTTAAAAAACCAACACCGGAAAAAGGAATATATTTAAACATTGAATTTGTTAGATTATTATCTAATATCTATAGTTTGTTTTGGATTTGGATTTTTTGTTTGCGGCTGTACTTACTGGTTTTTCAAATTAACCCACCAATGCCGATGAACTGCCCGTAATTAGGAAGTCAAGTATAACAATTAACCCAGAAGTGAAGTTCTATTTATCTTTCCTTTTTATTTCTCTGCTGCAAGTACGTATGTACACACCACATAACATACAGCAAAGTGTAAAATTCCCCGTTATTGCTGGCAATTTTACCTACGAATACACTAGGGCTTCATAAAATGAAAGAGGTGGTTGCGATAACTGCAACTTTGCATTTGTAATTTGGACTTAGTATACTGTGTGTTAATTTGGTTGCCTATACTAAAAAATTACAATTATACATTGCAAATAGGTAGGTAATCGAAAATAATTTCTTCCACTAATTAAGTATATTATGGTAAACTCCCAAACTTGTAGACACATTCAAAACCATTTTCAATTTTTCTATAAATCTTCGTCAGTTCTTAAATATGATAGGTAAGAAAAAAACTGGAAAAGGCTCAACATTAAAAATTACCTAGTAGCCATATGAAGTTTAATTTAGCAAAATTTATTACGTAGAAATGTAGATTATTGTATGGATAGAGGCGGAGCTCTGCGGAAAAAAGGAGTTTCGCCTCTGGTATGGTTGACATACTGAATTACATTGCTCTTTTGCCTTATTCTTAACCCTGCTCCTGAAGATGCCACTTACGAAAGTGTGCGAATCGTTGAGCCCAAAAACTCAATTTACACGATTCCAATCTAGAAAACCATCATGTATTGATTCCAACCGTCGAAGCCTCCGAAATTATTAACATTAAATTGTTTGCCCAGGTATTTTCTAACGATATCATTATGAACAAGCGCGCCATCACGTAATAAAAAATCTCTCCACAGAGCAACTGGCAAATCTTTCAATTACTGTAAGAATGCAGCGGCATTTTTGGCTACCGTCAAACTGACACGTTGACATTTCTATCAAGACCACACACTCGGATCCAAATTGATTTTAAAATGATTTTTTATTGCAATCCAAAATCAGCTGTAATCGGTATTTTGGGCTGACACCGTATACCTACAACATCTTAGCTGAATAACCCTGTATATAAGTTTTAAAA